TTCCTCAGTAAAGTTCTTTGCCAAGAAGGAAGCTGGCGCCAGCTTGCGGCCATCTTGCGCTCTGGTTGTAAAAGCCTTTCGACTGGTCTTCGCAAGCCAGCCTGCTGGCAGCAGGCCACTGCAACAGGATCTCGGGCTTTGCTCGCTACATGTATTCCCAGATTCTTGTCATAACCATAAAAGTGGTCCTTATTCACTTCTGATGCCCCCCGACACAATGGCACGAGTTCCTTAAATTCTTCATTGTGACTGGAAACTATAATTCCACAAGATGTAAATTATTCCTCACTGGCCCGAATTCGAATCCCAGTTAAACGCTTATCAAAAACATGGCCATCTTCCAGCAAACAGCCTTCGTACATCAGCGTTAGCATTTGGTCGTTTGGAGGTTAAATCCATAGGACAGGCGACACGCAATTTGCAGCAAAGAGGATTGTAGAATATCCAGTATATATAAGATTTCTCTTCATTTAAAAAATGGCTGCTTGATATCATAGCATCTCTCGTATAGCATTTTCTCCACCAATGAAACGGGTGGTCTTTGACGAAACTATCCGTGAATGTGGAGGGGAGTTCTCCCACACAAAGGCTTCAGTTTCCTCAGGAACATGCCATCTTCATTTGCAGTGCAGGGGGTGTAGAAAAGGGGGAAGTGAAAACTTTCTGAACGTGTGCCATGTCTGTACCATTCTCCTATCTGAGGCCCGCGACTGCCAGCTGGCGGCTGAATGTGCCCACTTGCACTGTGATGATGAGTCAGCCAAGATAGTTGGCACACTGTGCGAAATGATTGTTATGTTATCCCGAGCCAAATACAGCTCTGTGTGCAGCAGCTGCATGTATAATCTGCACTTGACTTTATCTGCGTATTAAATCCGTTCTTCCTAAAGCTGTGGTCCACATTTTCAATTTAAATACATCTCACAGTTCAGCCGTTTCACAAATTCTCTTCTTATTATTTTAAATAAGGGAAAAACTACCATTGAGAAAAAAATTGTACTTTTCTCATATAAAACAGAAAAAAATGTCATATGCAGTTGTCATATATATGTATCTAGACTTTTAAGTTAAAAAAAGATTGAGTTTTGTTAGCAATAAAATAATCCAAATTATTGCATATTTATAAATACAAGTGATAAAGCAAGCTAGGAGGAGGAGGAGCATAAGTATAATAATTAAAGGTTATGTCAGTTTAAAACGTTGTTGACCAGTGCATATTTGTGTGTGCATTGCATTGCTTGCAAGTCATCACTAGTTATTGTACTTTCCAGTAACACTTGCTTTAATGTTAAAGGGTACAATTAAATTTAATTTGGTTTAATTTAATTTAAATGTAGTGTAACACAGCCCAAACATATAGTCCAGAATAGTGCAGAGAGGGGGGGTATGGTTTATTCTAGAATTGTTACTTTCTTATATTTTATATTTTATTCTCATCTAAAGAAAAAAATACAGTTCTGTGGAATTTTTTTTAAAACCTAAACCTATTCTATCAACTTCACCCTTAGACTTTCAGCCAGTAAGTAACAGCTCATAAGGTAAACACATTTTGTTCCATGAAGTACGAGCAAATACTTACCTGCATCATGCTGCATATATAAAGATAGACAGACAAAGGGGCCACACAAATTAACTAGTAAATAGAGTAGTAAATAATAAATTATTCTAGATTTTTCTGCTATGTGCGGTGCACCGTTTGTTGTGTATGTACCGTTGCGCGGGTAGGAACTATTACGCTGGTACTTTTTCCACGTCGGACGACCACTGCTGCTGTACCGTCCTTCACATTCAGGGCATGGATACACTGTATTTCAAATGACACACCGGCATTTGAGTTATTTCAAGAGAGTTAATTGACGAAGAAATGTGCAAGTCAGTATATTTTCATTGCTCAAGTAATTGTTAAATAACAAATGTCGTTGTTTGTATTTCGGCTCTGACTTGGTCCGTGTCGCTGTATTTTTTTTGTCTTTTAAGTTACTAAAACAACGATAACATGAACGCCAGCTGTAACTGCCTTGCAATTAAGAAACGTTTAAGTGGTTGTGGCACAGCGTTTCATTTCTGCTTCCCACTTAAAGCTGTGTAATCGATAGTCAACACTGTTGGGCACTGGATATTTACACAGACATATCTGTGACTTGTCCCGCGTAAACAAGTTACTGAAGAACCTGTAGTAATAAGTAATTCACGTCGCTTCAACATAACTTTATGCCTTTACAAAAAAGAGTTTAATCTTCATTGTAAAGGTTCATTATTTATTAGAACACCTTATGTATAACGATATGTACGTATCGTTCAGCAGTTAATTTGAATAACTTCTTTTTATGAAGCAGTAATTTGAAACAAATGTTATGAATTAAGGAATTATATGTGTGTATATATATATATATATATATACAGTTATTTTTCTCTGTCAAATTCCACAGATGTCCTAATTAGAGCAGAAGCCTAAGGCTGTAGCCATCCTTAACTTCATCTATGGAGGATATGAAGACCTAAGTCCCAAACATGTCATCAAGACTTGCTGCTACTGCATTCAACTCCCTGAAGTTGCCCGTGCGTCACTGGAAAGTCACTATTCTCAGAACTTCTTTCCCGTCAGAGCCAAGACAATTGTTATTTAGAACTGTAGTTTTACGAAAATTTCACAGAAGTACATCGGCAGCCTCACTTGTGATAAACCAGACACCAGTTTTTGCCAAAGCTCCTACGTTTGGTGATAAGATTGCCATTATAGACAGCAGTGGGAGGCACAGCTACGAGCAACTGTACTGCAGCAGCTATGATTTAGCAAGTAGAATCAGTGCAGCTCTGAACTCTGACTTCGGTGGTCTGGAAGGAAAGAGGGTCGCCTTCCTGTGTGCCAATGATGTGTCCTATACAGTGGCGCAGTGGGCAGCCTGGATGAGTGGTGGGACTGCAGTGCCGCTTTACCGGAAACATCCTGTAGCTGAATTAGAGTACATAATCTCAGATTCCCAGAGCTCACTGCTTGTAGCGGGACATCCTTATGCGGAGATCATTGAACCTTTAGCAGTGAAGCTGGGGCTGCCTTACCTGACACTACCTCCATCTTCAACCCTGAGCACTGTTAAGGAGACGGACGCTAAAGAGAGGAAGACAGCCATCACAGACTGGGCTGACAGACCTGCTATGATAATTTACACCAGTGGGACCACAGGGAGACCCAAGGGTGTTCTACATACACACAGTAGCATCCTAGCTATGGTGAGATTTCTCCTTTAAACCATGAAATAGACTGTAAACAAACCATTATTATATCTTTGAACTGTGATATTGACAGATTGTTTATATCTGCTGTTTGTTTCATAAGAACTTATGTTATCACTTAATATTATCAATTATGATATTAAAAACACCATCATTGTGTATTTTTTCCTCACCCTATAGATCCAGTGTCTAGTTTCCGAGTGGGCGTGGACTAGAGATGATGTCATTCTCCACACCTTGCCGCTCCACCACGTGCATGGGATTGTTAACAAGCTGCTATGCCCACTCTGGGTGGGCGCCACCTGCATCATGCTGCCTGAATTCCAGCCTCAGAAGGTCTGTATTGGACTTCATCTTTGTCTTTGCTTTGTTCCAATTCTTTCTAACTTTCATTAATGTCCTTGAACAAAAGAGGCAGTTTCAGAGTCTCCGCTGTTAGAGGTAGTAAGTTCTGTGCTGCACGACTGAAAAGGTGTTTTTAGCTCCCTCAAAAATCAATCCCTCTTTCTCTGTTTTCCCATCTACTTTTCGCTCTTTTCTCTGCTCTTCATCTCCTCTCTGTCTCTCGTTCACCCTCCAAACCCCCACCTGTCAAACTAAGTGTTTGGGCTTAGTGATGAATTGCCCTGTATGGCTTTGTATCTGACCAGCGCCGACTCACAGCAGGGGCTTAAGCAGCAGATCAATCGATGAGCTGACATTGAAGGATGATGGTGCTTGTTAGACTTGGAGAAGGGAGGGGAAGATGGTGCGCTGAGTGTGTATAGAAGTTCCGATCCATGTGTTTCTCTTGTGTGTCTCTGTTTTGTTTTTTTTGGAACCTCCCACAAAAAGAGAGACTGAAAAGAAAAGTTCATTTTCATTCTCAAGGTCATAGTTCTTTTTTTCCAATACCATCAGACCATGTATTGACACTAAACTAATCTCTGAAAATTAGCTGTATTTCCTGGTCTATGTGTACATTTATACATACATTTAACCTTGATACTTTCTGATACTTTTTTTTCTACAAAAAGTTTCAAATAATATATTTTATATACTGTAGATCTTTAGAGCTGTATACCTTAAGCAACGTTGCTAACTTTGATGATTTTGGCTAACATTTTCTTCTTCCTGTGAGCTGATCATGTCCCTTCCTTAGCGCTTACATCTCATCTTAGTGTTTTAACTCTTCCTGGCATTCTTAAGATATATTGCTGCCCCCTACTGGTACTATCAATCTACTCGTAAACATGTCCATGCAAAAATGCCATTACCACAAGCAAAAAAAAAGATGATTATACACCCAGACCCTATTACTGTACCTTGTGGTATCGTAAAATATTTTCCAACTTACATCACCTGAACTCGTATTTAATTTTCAAAGATAAACCTGTGACCAAACCAGATTCTCTCCCGTCTCTCCCACTGATCAAGCTGAAATCTAGTAAATGAGATTTAACCAAGTAGTGCAAAGTAAGTTTAAATATTTTATCAATAGCTCATCAAATCACACTTTAATGTAATGTAATATAATGAGATGTGCCTCTCACAATCGTGTCTACTCACCCCGACAGTTTCACAGTGATTAGTATTCAGCAGTAATTTCTGACCTCATGTAACAAACCACAAAACTCCTCCTCAACCACAGAAAAAAGGCTTTTATTCTGCTCTTGCAGAAGTTACAGTACATCGAAGGATGAATCGATAGCCTGTCTCTTCCCTTCTCGAACATCTCTGAAGAGGAGTCCAGGCAGCAGGGGCCGACATTGATTTTTTTTGTTGCTGATTTCGATGTGAGATAGTGGCCGAAATTTACTCTCCAGGACTTGTGAATCTTTAAATTTCAACTGAACCGTACAGGAATGCACACTGCTGCTGGAGTCCCATGATACCAATGAGATTTGTTTGTTTAAATAGCTATTGACTATTTTACCCAGTATTATCATATCATAAATATTCTCTTTATAACAACTTATATTTTGCCAGACATTCGGTTTTGTATTGAAACAAAGCGGTAAAGCATGAACCCTTGTGTTTTAGCAGGTGAGTGTTTTTATTAAGTGGACTGATTGATGAAGGTGCTGCTATCAGCCTCTTCTATTATTCAGAGTAAAAACTGTTATCTCTTAGGTAATATTTCATGCACTAATGGTAAAGGTTCCACACAACTCCAGACCCTGAAGCATTAGACAGTGTTCTGGCTCCAGTGGTGTCAATTTAATTCTATAAAGCAGGCTGTCGTTCTTTCACTGCTTTTACTCCAAAGAACTGTCTGCTTCAGCAACTAGGGAATGTATTCCTATGGAATTGTGCCACGGTGGTGCCCATATTTCCTCACCTTACCTTATATGCCAGCTGCAGGATAGACTTAGCATTTATTCTGTGAATTAACCTAGCACCCATGAAACTGCCATGAGGATGTCCTGGAGCTGTTATGACCACAGGGGCTTCATTTCTGGGTTTTAGTGCTTGTCATTAGAAGGGAACGAACTAGTTGAAAATATTCATATAGAATTAACTTTTGGATGTTCGTGCTTGGATATAGGATTTAAAAAGTTCATGTAACAATGGCCCAATTAAATTACTTTTTCAATATTTTCCCATTTAAAGTATTTTCATGTTGCTTCACCTGATGATGTTATTTTGTATATATATATATATATATATATATCAGTTTGTTTTTTTTTTTAATCCTACAAATGTTCATATGTTCATAAACAAATTCACATGAACGCATGGGTGGGAACAGAAGAGAGATTCCTTAGAAAACAAAAAGTACAGTCTCTAACATTAAAACTGAGCAGCTCATACCTGTGGTTACATCCATCATTTAGGATGCTGACCATCAGCACTCCCTGTCCTCTAGGTGGAGGCCAGCTCTTTGTCAAACATAAATATCCTTCCAATCCACTCCGGGGTGGATGAGCCGGGAGCGCTCCACTGCACTTGACAGACAGCCGCCGGGGGCACACAGTTAATCATCCTTATCTCTTTGCCTATGAGTTCTGTTCTGTATAAGTAGAGGTGAACTGTCAGTGTGAGGGAAGATTTTATAGCAACTTGTTATTATAACCTGATATAAATTGTTTCCAATTAGTTCATTTGCTTGTCAGACAGGCGGTAAAAACTAAAGCCTGTAGAACAAAGAAGACAGTTTTAGCCAACAAGAGGTTTCTTATATGTTTACTCCTGAGGCCATGTCTAGTAGATGAGCAGTGTGTTTGTTAATACAACACAGATTGAGGGCTGAAGGCACATTTGGAAGCAGTTTCTAACTTTGGCTTATGTGCACGGAAGTTTTTTTACATTTTACAATTCCATTATCTGGCACAGAATTCTCTGCTACAGTGCTGAGAAACATATTTTATATTATTGATTACTTGATCTTTTTATTCAAAAGGATCGCTGTTTTCCCTGCCAGTTGAAAAACAACCAGGAGTGTCATTTATACAAACGTTTAGTTTGAGCTCATGTTTTTCTTCCCTGTCCTATACACTATTGTAAGTAATACAATATTTCTAGTGCACCAAACTTTTTTAGGAAATTGTGTTTGTGTCAGAAGTGGAAATGAAGCGGGTAACAAACATTCAGAAAAAAAAAAATTAGACGATTCTGTGTGAGCTGCTCATAATTATAAAGACTACATCTCTGTGTGTTGGTGAGAAAGAGACGGCGACTCCAGGGTCAGCCAAGCAGGAAATTATGAAATGGAGAAAGGAGGTTAGTGAGTGTGAGATAGAAAGTGTAGGGGGGGAAAGGAAGAAGGAAGGGATGGAGGGGAGACAAAGGGTCAGGTGGGAAATAAGGGAAGAAAAAGGGATGCACTTGGGATAAAAAGAGGAGATAAGGAACAAGTCGTGAAGATAAGAAGACTCAGGAGGGGGGGCATTTTTTTCCAAGGGGGAGACACACCGGAGTTAGACAAACTGTAGAAGAACGGTGTGATGTGAAGATGACTTTAGACAATATTTAATATTTTCACATGTGTAAATAAAGTTTGAGCCGTATGTAACTAAATCCAAGCCTTGTGTGTGTATGCGCGTGCTTCTGTTCGCTTGTTTCAAAATTTCAGTAATCGTCAAAAAGTGCATTTGTCAAAGCAGCTGCTCAAATTGTGTTTTTGTTTTTTCATACTGGCCCACAGCTGTCTGCTGTTTTATTTCCCCTGACCTTTACAAATCCAGACCTTTTTTCCCCAGTATTTTCTGTGTGGACAGGTTTAATATATGGCTGCCATTTACATCAAATAAAGCAAATGTCTGTCCTTTTTTTGGCTATTACATGAACTAAATGAATGAGTCCGGATGTAATATTTTATCAGCCATTTCTTACTCTACGCACACTGCTTTTGTTTGTTTTGTTTGTTTTTTTCTACCGTATTTATGTACTCCCATTTTGCACTTCTCACCAAATGTTTTTCTTCTTTATCTCCTTGCTTTGCCGCAGGTGTGGGAGATGCTCCTGAGCTCCAGGGCTCCTGTGGTTAACGTGTTCATGGCCGTGCCCACTATCTACTCTAAGCTGATCCAGTACTATGATCAGCACTTCACACAGGCTCCTGTCAAGGAATTTGTAAAAGCAGCCTGCAAAGAAAGGATCAGGTACTGAATGCAGCATCTAATGCTAACAGTTTTCTAATAGATTTAAGACCTGTATGTACATAAAAAATAGGTTGGCTGTTTGGTTCAGCTCTTTTAGACAGACACTTCCCTTTTATTTGCTATTTTCCCCAAGTATCTGTGAAATCAGTGGCTGAAACTGTTGAAGTAAAAACACCCAATAGGTTCTAGTGATGCCTGCAGGGATTTAAAACCTAGAGATGAAAAAAGTGAGAAGAGAATCAGAATCATATCACGGATGGAAATTGGAAACTATAATTTAAGGTCATTTATAGTAATGATATAATACAATAATATACTGATGGTGTTTTTACTTTTTTTAATCAAGCTTAATCTTTTTGTGTGTAGGTTTTTCCATGCTGTAGATATGAGGTAGCATCAAAGCAACAGGACAGCAGTACACCGCTGCCAAGTAATGCAGAGAAATGTGATGAGTGAGCAAAAGAAAGACAGAAAATCACTTCTCAGAGTAGATTACCAATCAGAGTTTAAACCACACTTGCAGAGTAAGAGTTTTAAAAATTCCCAGTGGTTACTGTTAGTGTTAGACAGGATCTGATTTACTGAAGGTGGATAGAATGCCTAATCTCACAAATCCCTCTGTCAGACGAGGGACAGCAAGGAGTAGGGAAGGAGCAGTGGGGAAGGGGATGATGTGAGGGAGTGAGGCTGGCCTTTAGAGAAAAGCAATGTCTCTCCAGGATTGGATCAAAACTGATTTTGTTTTAATGTCCAAATAAAAATGATTGTTTTGTTTTCTCATTTTAATTTGAATTACTTAACCAGAGGCTGTGCTCAGTGCTGTAAGAAGAATTAAATTATTCAAACAAAGGAAAAGATTTCACTCAGCAAGTCCCTAAACTCTCACAGTGAAAACCTGTGTTGTTCAAACTACAGACTATTTCAGATTACAGGGGTACTCCATGTACGTTAGAATTCCTTTCTTATGGTGCGATGTAACTCGATTTTCGCCGTTAGTCAGAAATTGCATACTGTACATGAGTACCTATGTCAATCACTTACACCATAATGAAGGGCAAAAAGTTCCCAAAAAACAACACAAACGAAAGAAAGCGAAAGTAGCACAATCCAACGTATGGCGTACAAAAGGAGAATGTAAACAAAGCCGGCTTCTGTGTATAGCACCGTGTTAAAGACATACATCGTAATGATGGAACAAGTCTTTCTTAATACATTTACAGGAGATGGTGACGTAACCACAAAACGCCAGCGGTTAAGGACGTTGTAAACCGAGGACCTGTATATTCACCTACGTCTTTTCGCTCTCTTTCTTTCTTTCCAGGTTAATGGTTTCAGGCTCAGCTGCTCTCCCTCCTTCCACCCTGCAGCAGTGGGAGGACATTACAGGACACACACTGCTCGAACGTTATGGCATGACTGAGATCGGCATGGCTCTGTCCAATCCTCTGAAAGGCCAACGTATCCCCGGTACACAAATTCAAATGAACACAAACACAAGAATGTAAACAGAAATAGTAAATCTGTGTTTCAATGTTTTCAAACTAAAACTACTGTGTCGTAATTACATCATACATACAGTATATATACACATTTGTGAAAAAGCTGAAACAAACTTTTGTTTTTGGTAGTTTAATTGACTAATTTACTGTAGTCAGTGAAATGTAGAACATGTAAGAATGCCTTAAAACTTCCTGAAACTTGGACAGGAGTAAAGTTTCTCTTAAAGGAATGCTCTTGATGCTTTTCCAGTCAGTTTGTTTTCAATGTCAGACTGAGAGGATGAGACAGGTGATAGACTTTGTCAGTCAGGACTGCAGAGTTGGATCAATATAAGGTGAAAGACTGACTCTCTAATTAGGGCCTGAGCTGCTCTTCATTACCAGACCATTGGTCTGGTAAATGATGTAGTAGACTTTAAGGTCCTTCTGAAAAAAAAACAACCTGATTTTGTTCTTTGCACAAGGTCTATGACTAACAGACACACTACCACACAAACACACACTTAGTTTTACACAAAACAGCCTTGTATGACTGTAATTTATCAATTATTCACGTGTGGTTTAAAAAAGAAAATGCACATATTTCTTCCGGACTGACTTCGTTGTCTTCTGATTGATTTGTTGACAGGAGCCGTGGGGTCGCCACTGCCTGAGGTGGAAGTTCAGATTGTCATGAGTAATTCAACCAACACTACCATTGTGGAGGGCAATCACAGCTGGACCTGGGTAACCCATAAATACATTCCTTATGAACCAACCTATTCACAGGAAGTGGTTAGCAGGCAACAAAGTAAAGACTCGGTTATTTTTTGTCTTTGTTTGAAATGTAATTTTAGGTTTTTTGTCTGTTTGCAGATGAGACTTATTATCTCACTAACTAATGATAAGTCCCAGTTTTGTCTCCACCTTCCACCCTCCTTTAGAATGGCATCTGATTTGAACACTGCCGAACACAGTGCAGACTACTATATAGTGAAGTCACTGAATGTGACTGTTTTAAATCCCACAGATGGGATTTGATGGGAGTTCCTAAGATTAAACATAGACAATGACGCATTTTTAAAATTAATTTGTGATGAAAAAAACAAACTCGTTTTTCAGATCAATAGCCATGGGATGTTAAATGATGCTAATGATAAATTATACACCAACTTTGTTGTGGTCTGTGTCATAATATTTGGTTTCATATTAAATGATGAACACTGGTTTTAAATGATGTTTTGAAGCTATGTTGACTTCATTTACAACAGTTTGCACCATTTTTCACAGGTCCACCCAGGTCTAGAGGGGAAGGAGGGTGAGCTCCTGGTCCGTGGCCCATCTGTCTTCAAAGAGTACTGGAACAAACCTGAGGAGACTAAAGAGGCCTTTACACAGTTTGGCTGGTTTAAAACTGAAACAAACTTTTGCTTTTCTTCTTCTTCTTATTTTTCACACACACCTCAGCACTCTTCACAAGAGCAGACTTTTACACACATTGGCCTCAAGGCAATACATTTTCCACTAATCGCATCTGCATTAGTAGAACTCTGAATAAAAGTGAAAGATAAATGATAAAAGATTTTTTTTAGAAACTCTGAATAAAAGTGAAAGATAAATGAGAAATGAAGATTTTTTTATAGAAAAAAAAAACCCACTGGAATACGAGGCCATGTTGTACAAGAACGTTCATGTGTACTTGTTCATGTGTTTAGGCAGTAACAAAAACACCACCTGTTTTTTGGTTGACTAAGAAAAAACTAGAGCCTTGACAGGAAAAACAATGTGTCAAAGTGAGTTGCACTAAAAAATAGTCATGTTTTTCCTGCATGTGTGAAGAAGGAACTTTTACACTAGAACAAATCAAGCTGCTGAAGGAAAAACATTTCTAATTGTGCATTAAACCAAAAAATAAATGTAAAAGAGTCAGTTGAGTTGTGTTAGAATCTTACACAGAGTTGATGGAAAAATCTCCATTAGTAAAAGCTACGAAAGCCCTGTCAACGTGATGACGTCATTAACCGACCTTATGATCAGATTGATTAACATGAAGAAATAGTAAAATAAATAAATATTGACTGAAGTCTGAGATTTGATGGCATCTTAGAAACAAGATGTCCGCAAAGTAACAGTACGTTCCAATGGAATTGGGATCTCGTCATCGTTGAGTTTTAGGGATTGCATGAAAAAACGTCAGTGATCGAGTCAGAAAAAAAAAAAACGTTGGATTTAAGCACTCTCCCTGTTGAGTTACTACAAAATCTGCAGCAAACCTAAAATAATGTGAAAATGTGTTTTTGTGAGACTAAAAATGTGGTTTTTTGGTTATGTCTAAGTTGGTTTAAGGGCGGCTTGAATTGTAATGTGGGACTGAAAGATAATGTTTCAAGATGTGGTGGGAAACGCCTTGGAACAAGGTAGGAATAGATGGTAAATATTGCCGGTAATGAATGGTGAAAAAAAAAATTCAGTAAGGCACTCAAGGTTGAAGTAGAGGGAGGCAGTGAGGGAGGGAGCAGGGCAGAGAGTGTTTAATTGGCTTTGCAGGCTGGAAGGACAGAGATCCAGAGCACAGCATGCTACTGTCACACTCCATTACAGCCACTGGCCACATAATGAGTGCCGGTGCAATCAGCTCCCCACAGACCAGCACCTCCAGCAACACCCGCACAGTCACACCAAGTTGCACACAGTCAGATTGTAGACTTCTCTATAAGAACCTATCAAACATGTCCCCACCTCTCCTGCTGTACCTGTCTGTTTCTCTGGGTGGTCACTTCATTAACTATCTTGTTAAAACCTCCTTAGCACATTAGCAACAAAAACATGTAATCCTACTGAAGAGATTGGTATTACAATACGCATTAATGATATTGCTAAATGAAATATACAAGGGTGAAGGGATTTCTTCATTATTAATACACGACTGTTTGTTTTGTCAATGGGCTTCAGCAAACACATCATGAAACTGTTAACAGCTAATTATACTTATTTTAGTACTTTTACAGCTACCAAAGTGACAATAGAAACTGAATTTTACAGAAAACAAGTTCAAGTCACTGTGATTCAACACAGTCCTCTTGGGGGTTCATTTAAAGTTGAGACTTTAATTAAAACAAACTTCTGTCATCGGGTTATGCCATTTCCTTGAGACCAACTAAATTCAAGACACATACCGTCTCCGATTCCCACGCCAGCTTGACTTGCACTTCACCCACTCCTGAGCTTTCTTGCTGCCTCATCCTCTCTTCACACCTGCTGCTTTGTTCCAACGTTCACCTTTATCTTCAACACTGTTTCTGGTTCACACCCCGTCACGTACCTGCAACCTCCCGGCTGATCTTTTAGCACCTACCCTTCCCTCTGAGCTTTTTGTATCAGTCGTGTCACATCCTGACAAAGTTTTCAGCTCTGTATGAAACTTAACCCGATTTCATGTCAAACCAACGGAGTATTTATTTATTATTGTTAGGGTCGGTTATACGCTAGGTCACGATGTAAACAAGTTAGAAGGTTTTACCCCTTGTATTTAAGAATATAAGATTTGTAAGATTAAAAAAAAATGTACCTTATTTTCCAGACTATAGTACACATCTGAATATAAGCCGCACCCACTAAGTTTAAAAAAAAAAAAAAACTATAAATTTACATATTTAAGCCGCACCAGACTATAAGCCGCCGATATCCAGGTTGGGAAATGAGATATTTACCGGTTCAGGCCACCTGCTTTTATGTCCTCTGAAAGCCTTTGTCATCTTTTGGCATTGAATGAGTTCTTCCCGCTGCCGTCCCCAACGTCTCACCTTGGATTCATTAACGCCAAGCTTACGTGCAGCAGCCCTATTTTCTTCCTGGCTAGCCAGATCGATGGCCCTCAACTTAAAAGCTGCGTCATACGAACTTCTTTGTGTGCTTTCCATGATGAGCGGGTGAAAATAATAATAGTAATAATAATAAAAACTAGTGGAGACTAGTGGCTGTCTCGTTTTTGCACTTCCTGCTAGAACGCCCCCTGGTGGCTGAAGAAAAAATCCATAGAAAAGCTGCATCTTTGTATAAGCCTCATGGCTCAAAGCATTAAAAAAAAAAAAAAGTAGTGGCCTATAGTCCGGAAAATACGGTATATAAATATCTATTCAGAAATAAATAATAAAAGGCTTCAACACAGTCAGCTGCTTAAGGCATATTGTTGTTCTTCTGCCCTGACCTCAGAACAACAACATTTGGCTGCAGCATAACAGCATCTCAGTTTATCGGGGGGAGAAAAAGTGTCTTGCGTTAGTGCGGTCTGACAGAATTAACCCAGGGCTAAAATACATATCACACTGACCTCTGACCTCAGAGACAAGGGCTCAGAATTGTTAGCACTCCTGTTTTTCATCATTCCACTTTTCATAATGGTCCACGAAGACGTGATTAAATGAGTCAAAAGTCAGTGTATTATAGTTGGTTAAGCCATAACACTGACATATTCAAAATAAATATCTCTTATTTAAAAAAAAAAAAAAGGAAAATACATACCTAAATAAATTAAAATGCCACTTTGGGGTGAACATACATACTACTAAATAAAACCAACAAACAAAATGATAAAACAAAAAGCCTGAAAGGACAAACAAATACATCAGGAGGGCTGTAAAATCAACCTTTCCTTTTAAATATAGACACAGAGGGACAAAGGTGAATCTAGGATCTTAGGAATTTAAGTCAGTTCCCTACAGCTGGCAAATCATTAAAAATCATACTTCAAAACAGAAGTAAAAATGTACAGCTCATGCGATGTATAAAACAGGTGTTATGCAGTTCAGTACTTATTTTTAAAGAAAAAAAAAAGTAAATCCCATTGTCCATTGTCCAAGTCTTAGTTGGCTACATGGATGAAATATGTAATTTTAATGATATCATTTACATTAAATTCACTACAACATTAAATGATGTTTAATAGAGCGGTTAATCAGAATCAATTAATTTAAAACGACATAAAAATGTATTTAATTTGAATGTGTAGTATTTCTGTGGGATACATTAACAGGAACAGATCTACCTTTTATATCCTGCTGCAGAGGAACTCTTCTACTGTCGGTCGCTCAAAGGTGCCTGGCTGTGTCTGATGTACATGTCAGACATACAGGCACCGCATTTAAATGACTTTTATTGGGATAGTAGGTTATGGCCCTAAGAATTCATTATCGGCTGCAGCTGTAAATTCAGATTTCAGAAATTCAAAAGTAGCTACTATGGAAAACTACATTAGTACAGTAGTTTCTGGACATTTATATTTGAGAATTAATTTCCATTCATCACACTTGTTTTCAGTAGAAAATAAACGTTGAAAACATCAAGAACTCCATTGATGGCAGGTATGTGTCAATTGGCAATGGTTAGTGAATGATTTGCTTTCAAACTAGAAACAGGCAAAATGTAAAAAAAAAAAAAACATGATGAAAATGTCACAGTGAAGGTCACTGAATGGAACCAAAATATTCTAAAGAGCTTAGAGCTAGAATCGCAAGTATTTGACAGCGTGAAAACAAGCTAAATAGAGAATCCGCTAAATATATTTGTATGTATACACAAAAGCCCAGCTCAGGTCCCATACACATGGCCAGAATGAATCAGCCGTGAAGTGAAAATCCTCATTTCTGCCACTGAGCCTTTTCTGTATTAGACAGAGACACTGTTTTAAACCAGGGGTGTCAAACATACAGCCTGCAGGCCTAAATTGGCCCACATTTGAATCTGGCCTGTTTTGTAAAATTATATTTCACTAAATATGAAGATTTAGCATCTCTCAACTGGACTCTTTTTATTATTCCCACCATCTTCAACTCTTTCTTTTTATTGTTTCCACCACACCCCACCGTCCTATGCTGCTCAACTACAATCCCCTACATCTGCTGTTTAACGTAACCAGCAAACTCTATAACATGGAAGCCGGGGATCGACAACAAAACCAATATGGCTGCTCGACCATCCAATAGGTGTCCCAGAGAAGTGGAGTGTTGTAGAAGAAAGAGTCAAGATCAATAAGTTCTCACTTGGCCAGAGGTGTCCCGTCCAATCGGAGAAGGTGTTATGTAGCCCGACTCCAATATGGGAAATCTGTTTGATCTCCCTCCTCAGTGTTCTCTTTTTCGTATCACACATCTTCCCTGAGTGTGTTCACCTTCTCTCACCTTGCAAACCTCTTTTTGTGATGCAAATTGCAGCTTCACCTTCAAATCCTGGTCTGGATTTGAGGGTGTGCTAGCGATCTGGGGCTTTAGATTGGCACGGTAGAGAGATATCGTGGTTAGTTTAAAAGAGCACCATTAGTTGTCGGGGCCTCATGTCTCCTGCTCTTCTGCCTTGAGCTTTCTGTGTTCCTACTGTGGCATTTTAGTCCCAGTGTTCTCTTGGTTGTGATGTCATAGCTCCCTGTAGGACTCTACAGAATTTTGACCATAAAACACATTTGTTGATCAGTACAGTATTAAGGCTGTGTGTCGTGACCACTTTATATCTTTGGTGCTGTGCTGTCATCTGAATGGCATTGTTTTTCCCATATGTGAACGAATCTGAGACACACATCAGTCTAGCTGAGCCTGTTATCTGCAGATGGAGAGGCAATCCCACAAGTAATATAATCAGTAACGTTAACATGGAGTAATTCACACTGCTTTAATTGCACTATATTGAACAAATTAGATCAGTCATCCGAGTGCAAAGTGCTTTATTGTGCAATATTAATTACCAAAAAAAGGAGCGGTGACAAAAGTTAAGGATGATAAATAATGTCAGAGCAGAGATGTGGCTGCTCGGCACTCTGTTATTTATCCTCATTAGCCGTTCTATCTAGACTTTGGGGGTTTAATGTTCAACATTAATATTCATATATGCTAAGTATTTACAGTCACTCCAAAAAGAGGCACGACTCCCGTTCAGACCTCTTCTTTGTTCGTGCGAGGTTCTGTCCTCAGTGATGGAGGGCACTGAGCTGTAGAGCGCGTTTCTGGGAGTAAAGGCTGTGATCAGTGATGAAAGACTTTGACTGCACTTCTCTCAGAGGAGACGCGTCTTCCCATCAAGCTCACTTTAAACAATTGAGTGCACGGTAGAACATGTGCAGGCGGTAACGTAACTGACACACGGGGTGGATAGATTGTGTCTCCCCAGAACGATAGCGCTCTCTAAAGGTGACTCAAAGCTCTGTAGATTGTGTCTCCCCAGAACGATAGCGTTCTCTAAAGGTGACTCAAAGCTCTGTTTGAAAACACATGATTAAAAAGTTAAATTACAGATATATTTATAATGCAAACTCCATTAGATGTAAGGTAAAGGCTACAAATGTTACAAATCAATCCGGAGTTGAAGTTGAAGTTGGTATATGTTTTTGTTTCACTGTTTAACACGGCTGTAGCGATAAATTTCAAATGTTAACACCACCTGAACATGAACTTTTTATTCTGCTACTGGTGGGTTTCTAAAGTCGGCCTTCTGCAGAAAGCTACATGCCCGTCGCCAGGCTTTACATCTGTCTGATTTGCGCACACGTAGACAAATATATGGCACTTCAAACAAGGTCAGACTGTAATCACATTCATCACTAACACCAACACTCTTTAACACATGCTTTTAGCCACTTCAGTGACAGCATCTTTAGTGAGGGTGGAAGTTATTGACAAGTGAACAAATGACTGCATTCTCTTCAGCACAGCTGCTTGGGTGAAAGTTTAGCTTCCTGCTTTTCTTTATTTCTTTTTCTTTTTCTTGTTTACATTTTTGCGGCAGTGGTGGCTGCAGGTGAAAGGATTGTCGCAGTGATTGGCTCTGTCGTGTGAACCATGTTGTTTTAACAGAAATATTTAACAGCTATCCAAACCAGTTACATCAAGGGCAGCCGTACTTGTAGGTTTGGCCACTCTTCCAAGACGACTCTTCAGTTCCTGACTGACAACCGGGAAGTTTTTTTTGGTATTTAACCTCAGAGAGGGTCATAAGAGCGAACAAAGAAGGTGATCAGACCCAATACCAATAAGGGTTGAGGTATGGATGGAGGCTGAGGGACTGGGAGGTTGTTAGAGCCCAAAGGGAAATTGGTATGTGACTTTTCACTGAGAGTTGTTAGAGCCCAAAGGGAAATTGGTACGTGACTTTTCACTGAGAGTTTTTTAAAATTAAAACCCAATATATATATAGTGGAAAATTGTACAGGAAAATAATATTTTAGTCAAAGAAAAACTCTGGGAATTAATTGAAAGTGTGAGAAGCATAATAATCGTTTTTTATTCAACCAAAATATATATGTGATATATGTTTTGCCTAGTTTTTCTATCTGATTTTTTAAAGCTTTTTATCCCCATTTTTTATGAGTTATTTTTCATGAGGCAATTAGTTTGATGTACTGGGAGCCGCGACACTAATCCAAATATTAAACCCCAAAAAAGCAAATACTTTTTTTCTTATTTTGCATTTTATTTAATCTTTTATTGTTTTTTATGTATACATTTTTTTGTAAATTTAATGCTATTTTTGTACTTTGTTAGAGAAACGATCCTGCCCTTTGTCCTCATGTTCAGTCTAGATCTGTTTTTATTTTTTTTTTATTTTTCACAGTGCGTGCCTTCACTTTCTTTAATGTGTCAGAATGAGATGAAAGCACAGCGCAATTAGGCTTCTTATCGTTTTAATTAAGAAAGCCATTCGGCCGTATCTGGCTCCAAAGCCATAACACATAATGGCAGACAGTCTCTGATGCCTGAAGTGCTGTGTATGTGTGTGTCTGTGTGTGTGAAGTGCGCATGCATACAGTACGTGTGTGTGTGTGTGCTTGTGTCCTAGTAACACAGTTCCAAACATTATCTCTCCCCTCTTCCTTTCTTTTATCAGTCCATGTTCTCCAATCACTATTCCCACTTGTGCTCCTCTCTAAACATCCCAGCCACTCTCTTGTTATTTCCTTCTTCTGAAACAGGCAAGGTCAAAATCTTGTGTAAGTACCGCAAACTCTTCTCAAGTATGTGTTTAATTCAACAATTTTGTTAAGAAAAAAAAAGTTTCTGTTCTCCTTCCCTGGTCCTTAACATTTATGGGTGTTTAGAACTTGAAAACACATGTTTTTAGTTCAGAAAAAATTTGGGTTGTCTGCCAATAATGACCCTGGACCAAGGAATTAGAGAAATACATGAATTTGTTTTACAGCTGATTTTATTTGTGATTAATCCAAATCATGGAATTATTAAGATGAAATTATTCTATTTCTATTCTAGAACTCAAAATCTACCATTATAGAATTGTCGGATTTGCCTTCGACTGCGCCAGTTTGTTTTGCAGTGGAGGTACTTTTGTCTCCTCTTCCAGGAAGGGAAGTGAACTACCCCATTAGTGGTGTTAAACCCAGCAAAGCTCTTCAACCTCCCCTTCACTTGCTCTCTCTCTCCCTCTCCCCCTCTCTCTCTGTCTGCCCCTCTCCCCCTTCTTCCTCACTGTCATTTTCCCCTCTCCTCCTCTCTCACCCCAGCCTATCAGTGTGGAGCAGTGGTCTGTGAAGAAATTCCCAATATCTAAATTTACACACTGTATCAATCTTGTTTAATAGACTGGAAAGCTTATAGCCGCTGTGGCAAGCCAGCAGAGAGGGCAGCGGTGATAAATTGTCGGTGTGCAGGCGACAGCCGCCCGTGATGTATAATGAAATATTTATGATTTATCCCAGCTAATAAACTGAAATGAAGTGCGTGATGTATGGGAACAGATGGGCCCACTATTGATGCTGAGGCAGAGAGGCAAGGAGGGAAGGAAGGAGGGGCGGGGGGCGGAGAGAGGGATGTGGGGGGGAACAAGAACCTGGAGATGTGATGAGGAGATGCCCCAGACATGGTGAAGAAAAAAAAAAGGGAAGCCAAGAATAGAAAATCTAAAACACACACACACACAAACGTGCAGGGTGGCACTGTGAGGCTAAAGTAGGGGGGAACACAAAAGTTGACATCAGTGTGTACAGAGTTAGAGATGAGATTAAAATTAAATGATGACGTAAAGAACAGATGGAAGATGGCAGTAAAAAACGCACCCATCTCTAAATGTAATCCCTCTCTGCTCACACCTCTGCCTCTGGATCCCAGGTGAAGACAGAGCAGTTGTTGGCTCTCATTGATTTCATCCTTCAGACGCTCTCCAGCTTCATGGACTAGTTGTAAACGGAGCTGTTTGTCGGATTTAGAAATTATGGGGATTTGAATTGCTCAAGGGTAAATGTGTCTCCCAACTTTAAAAAATATATACTGTATATGAAGGGAAGAAAAAATACAGACGGGGGGCAGTGATGTATATACCTTCAGTGACATCAGTGATTACATTTAGTTTTGTGTCTAACCCACAGCCTTGGTCCTTGACTGGGTCTTTAGCTCCACACACACCAATCTCACACCTTCTCACACACCTCACCCTGCTGCTCGGTCCCAGCTGTGGACGCAGCTCCTGTAATAATCTGAAAAGGACGCGTTTCTTTTTGCCTTCCTTTTTTCTCTCACAACTCCCTTCTCCCTCTGTCCATTTTTTATCCCCCTGTTTCTCCCGACTCATCCACACTGACCCATTTCCTGGGCATGTCATCGACCAGGCCCAGCTGAGTCCCTCATCCCATCCCTTCCTCCCCCACACCTGTCCCCCAGACACCTGTGAGTGTGTGCGTGTATCTGTGCTGGATGTGGATGTGAGGGAACCTCATCCATCCTCTGCTCTCTGACTTTCCCTCTCACTCACACAGTCGAAGAAGCTAGTCTGCGTGACAAACGAAGATTGTCGTAGCACTGTCGTTTTGCCTTTTAATCAATGCTTCTTTGAGGAAACCTGTTTAGAAATAGCTGTTATAGAACAAATTGAATTATCAAATCATAATGGAGAATGAGTTACAATCAAGTTGGCAGGGTTTCGGTTTAGGATTGCACACATACCAATAATGAAAAGTTTACCAAAGCTGCCGTCATCCTGCGACTAGTCGTCATCAAGAGCTAAATTTTTACCCTCATCACTCAAATTTGACTCATTTGTGTTGTAGGAGACACAGCGGTCTACAAAAACGGCGTTTACTGGATCAGGGGTCGCACCAGTGTTGATATCATCAAGAGTGGAGGCTATAAGATCAGCGCACTTGAGGTGGAGCGCCACCTCCTGGGTCATCCATCTATCTCCGGTGAGCCCGCTGTACACAAAGACCGACGCCTGACACTTGACATGGAGTTACACTGAGTGCATTCTGGGTTATTTCCCTCTCAGATGTGGCTGTCGTCGGGGCCCCGGATGCTATGTGGGGTCAGAAGGTCACAGCGGTCGTGCAGTTGAAGAAGGGCCACAGTTTGAACCTGGAGGACCTGAAGGTCTGGGGCAGGTACTGTGAAAACCTATTTGTTTGTTGTTTGTTTAAACCTGTGACTTACTATGCAGGAATGTAAAAATCTGGCCAACACTGGCTTCTCAGGCTAATCTGAAATAATAACTATGTTATTTATTAGATTTATTAAACAAAATCTGGCCAACACTGGCTTCTCAGGTTAATCTGAAATAAAAAATGGGGATAATAACAATGTTATTTATTAGATTTATTAAATTGACTAGTCAATAGTATGGAATTAAGGTGGAGCCCAAATTAAATTAACTTATATTTTAGCCTTATAAACTTAATGAGTAAGTAATAAATAGACCTTGGTTTTCATTTATTTTTTTGTCAGTTTAATGTTCAATAAAATGTAAAAGTTCAATGATAGCAAATGCATCAATCAGTGACTAATTAATAGTGATTTCAATATGAATTAAAAACATTGTCATTATTGAGTTTTGCCATAATCAAGCAGCCCAAGTAATGAGGTATAATAGTGGACAAAGTGACAAAATCTTTGATCCAAAATAATTATCTTTTTCTCATTTTTTATGGTGCAGCTGTGGGTCTGGGTGTTTTGATTTTACAGCTGTGGGAAAAAATAGAATTGAAGTTTTGACCTTTTGACCTTTCCTTTCTATTTTAGCTTTTTCACAAAATGTCCAGCAGGATTAACTAAGCATTTGTCTATTGCAGTTCTGTTCAAAGGAATGTTGCCTAAAAGAATTAGATGTAGCGGAGAGGGAAAAAAAATCACTAAAAATACCACTTTTTAAAATGTAAATTGCTTTGCTAAATAGATTGGGTTTGGAGCAGGTTGTATTATTGCATTTGTGTAATGGTGTTTACAGTGGTGTTTATCACATACTGTAGTTTTAATGGACCAGCCTTTGTCCTGTTGTTGCTACATGCTTTGCAGTACACAGGAAATCCAGGTCTGGTGAAGTTTTGCAGTGGCAGACGACAGCATGGCAACCCGTAATGAACCGAGTATGTTACTGTTAGATTCAGATTTAGATTCAGCCTTGGTCTTTTTTTGTGTGTGTGAATTTTTTTGAGACTGTGCCGTTATTGGTCTGAAGGAGCCGTTAGGATAAAAGCTCTCACCACTGGACCACCTGACACCTTTACAAGTGCTCTGAGGCAGCAGCTGGACCCTAACCCATACCACCAGTGAAGACTGTGACCTGAATAACTTCCATCTAATTCATCACTCTGAATTCAGAAAAAAAAAAAAAAAAACCAGAGCACAGAAACTGCAGTTGCTGACCCTGGCCTGTAATATTGAGTCAAGGAGTCCATTCCCAGGGCATTTGTGTTTTTCAGCCTTGTGCTAAACGTAAGAAAGGCTCTTGTAGTGGTTAGAAAACACTCGTCTCGAGTGGGTGACCTCGCTGTCGTCGGAGCAAACGCGGGGAATGTGAAAGTACCACAGGACAGAGAGGGACCAATGAGAGGAGCTGAAGAAAAGAGAGGAGATTTAAGAGGTGTTAGAAGAGAACAAATAACTATTTTCCACTTTTGTTGTCCATCCTTTCATCTACAACTCTGTGGTCTATTGGAGTTTTTTTTTTTTTTAATTGTGTAGCGTTGTGTAGTGGTGGAGTACAAGAGTTATCATTGACTAGCTCCTGTCCTCCGGAGGATCCGTGTAGAGCCTGTCATGGAGGATGAAACTGTGACAAAGCCAAGTTGGAGCCGAGTTAAAAAAAAGTCACTTGAGATGTGAGCTGATAGGACAACTGATTGCTGTGTTTTCTTCATTAGCATGCTAACATGCTACAAAAATAATATATGGAGAGTTACATTGTTGCTCATTGTTGGAGCATTTGTGTCTGTGTAGTTCCTGCTCTGGGATTGTGATGACATCATTAAATTACTCAACAGATTTATTCAGTCAGATTTGTCGACGTAAAAAAAGAAATCATCCGAGCCTTAATTTGCGCAGACCAGTGCACACTTTGCCCAACCAGGGTTGTAGGGTCAACTCTGGCAACAGCAATCTGCCTCGGCTTAGAGCAGTGAGTGTGTAACACTGATGATTACTGCTAACAGCAGCCAACATCAGATTAGGGGACACAAATTATGGTACAAATGTTCATACGCACCCTCTCTCTCCCCCTCTGGCTGCTGCCAGCAGACAGTAACAGACCACAGGCCACTGCTGTGTGGAGCACATGGGTAATAAAATACACAAAGACGTAGCTGGATGCTCACTCTTCAGTGCCCTGGCTTCGGCTGTCAGACTGAATCTCTGTCAGACCGTATGCCCCCTACGCACACACACACACACACACTGAAACTCACACAAACAACAAACTGCCCCGAAGATTGCACTGGCATGAGCAAGTGTCTTTAGGTAGATGTAAGTGTTTGTATGTACGAATCCTCACACACTACACTGGAAATCTGAGTTCAAAAGGAGAATTATCTGTCACTTCACACACACACACACACACACACAAACTAGGTTAGAAGATAATAAAAAAAGCTCCAGGCGTCAAAACTTGATGTAACAACCACGTTCTCAAACTGGAAAAAAAAATAAACACAATTTAATTATCTCCGCCTTCTGTCTTTTCCTTTTGTGATTTGTTTTTTTTTTTCCTCTCTCCCTCACTCTTTTAATTTCATTTCACAGTGATTATAATGTATATTGTTTAGTACAAAGGGAGTGGTGTGTGTCTGGAAGGCACAGAGAGGAGGCGCACAGAGCATCAAGGACACTTCTCTCCTTGTCTGCCACAAGGCTACTTTTTCTTGCTTTTGTTTTTTTTTTTTTCCATCTTTTTGTTTCTGTGTTCACGCGTGGCCCGTGCACGTCGTACAGAATCTTTACTGCGTTTCCCGTCACTTGTTTATCTTGTAGTTTTTGCAATAAACAGCCGTCAGTTTTATTAATGCTACTGTTTCGTTGCAGGGTCCACATGGCCACATACACCATCCCCACAGGCCTGGTGGTGGTGAGTGAAATGCCAAGGAATCAGATGGGCAAGGTCAACAAGAAGGACCTGCTGCGGCAGTTCTTCCTGTGATGGTTCGACACAACTGCATTGTGGTGGAAACGTGGCCATCAATGTAAAATATTATTACTATTGTTGACAGACAAATGTGGGCTTGTTAAGAAAATATATAAATTATTATGGTTGAAAATAGCCTGTATAAATCAGGGTACTCTGAATACTGTTTTTTTGTTTTGTTTTTTACAAATCGTTTTTCATCGATTTGCAATTCGATTCGCATTTGTATCGTTACGTGATATCGGCGATTCAACTAGAGGGCATTGTTTTAGGTGTCTCAGCTCTGTGCTTTGTTTTAGGATGATATGCAGTGTGTGTGTGTGTGTGTGTGTGTATGCGACGCAAGCAGTTTTATTTTCTTGTCGTTAACGAATAATGAGTATATTTCTATCCAAAAGAAAACTTTTTTTTTAATAAAATGGGAGATAAAATAAGACTTGACTGCACTTTACATAGTATTTCAGAAGTTAAAACACAATGTAAAAAATGTTCTGTACTTTAGAGAAATATTTGATATTTATGATGTAGTTCCTGTGCAGTCAGATGGGCAGATGGGATGAAAGAGCTTTTTAGAAACATTACAAAAAAAAGTCTGTGAACTGACACCGTTGTCACATTCGACAACATATCATCTTGACTCACACTGGGCTTTAGAAAGTCGTGTGTGTCTGTCGAGTCTTTTTGTCGGGACATTCCTAGATTTTCAGAAGGGCACGTGCCAGACTTTATTGGGAATTAGACTGGACTCAGTATTTTAGACCGCAGAAATGGCAGAAGATATTTAACATTTGGTATTCTTAGCTTCTAAAGCTCAAATATTGTATTTTTAAAGAGAGGATGTGAGATCAGGTGTAAAGCCTCTCTCTCTCCAAACTGTTTTTTTTTAATAACTTTGAGGTTCAATTGTTTTGGTTCTGCAGATGACAAGCAGGAGGTCACCTTGTAACGACGACCTTGTGTTTGTCATTAGGGACAGTAGGATCAACTGCAGAGGTCGAAATGCTCTGAAAACACAGACCAAAGCTGATGTGTGTTCATTTACCACACTCACTTTTATTATTTCTCTTTTTTCTACTTTACCAGAATGTTTTCCCGATAAAGTAGAAGTCGACCTTCTTCGAAGCTTTCACTTCAACCCGGCGTACATGTACTTGTAACTGAGTACTGTCTGTTCTGCAGAGCTAAGGTGAAATGGTTTCTGCCTCCTCTCGGACTCATTTGTTTCCCCACGTTAACTCTGTGTAAATGAATCTTCTGTTTGTCCGTTTAAGGTGAAATAACAAGTCTGGTCTTCTTTGATTCATGACCACGAGCCTCGTATCACCGAATGTTTAAGGATGAGCTCCGAACGAATCCTTTAACTCAGCAGGTACTCTGGGTAAAAAGAGACAACGGGGCTTTTAATTGGTGTAAACTTTTATTTACGTAAAATGTGCTGATATCGGGAGATTGAATGTTGATTGATGTGACTCCTCAACTGTGGTTATTCATCTAGTAACATAAAAAACATTTATTGAAAGGAACTCATACTGCGATCAGCAGG